GCCGCCGGTGCGCCTACCGCGGGGACCCCGGGCGCTGCGCCGTCTACGCCGCCCGCGGCGCGCGCTACTGGAAGCAAGTGCTGGGCGGGCTGCGCAGGAAGCGGCGGCCCTGCCAGGACCCCGCGCCGCTCCGAGCCCGCCTGTGCGCCGGCAGGAAGGGCCAGGGCGCCGAGCTGCGCCTGGTGACCCACGCGCCCCTACCCGCCCGCCCCACTGCGGCCGGCTTCCCCCCGGATCCCAAACCCCGCGGCATGTAACGGGGGGAGGGTTTAGGGAGCCCGCGTTTGGGCCCGCCACCGCCGTTCCGCCTTCCCTGAGCGCGCGCCCCGAAGGGAAAGTCCTCGGAGAAGAAGACGAAAGGGGGCAAGAGGAAGGCGGCCTCGGACCCGGACGAGGAGCGACCCCTGGGGACAGGGCCGGATCCCGACGGGCTGGACGGGAACGCGAAGTTCGCGGAGACCTACTGTGCCGAGAAGTGGCACTCCCTCTGCAACTTCTTGGTTAGCTTTTGGAACGGCTGAGGGTGCCGGCCTGGGAAGAGATATGGGGGGTTGGGGGTCGGGGGAGAAGGCGCTCAGCTGGAGAAGGAGGCGAAGGGCACCTTAGGTCCGGAGGTACGGGATAGAGAGTGGGGAGGAGTCCAGGTTCTAGAATGGAGGTGGGGGTGGGGGCTTGGGCTGAGAGTGTAATGTAAGGGGATATGGACAGTCTCTGAGACAGGAGAGAAGTTTAAACAATTTGAAGAGTCTCCACCCTGATTAAGACCAGAAGAAATAGTGGAAACAGAAGTAGGCATACCTTAAATGTGTAAAAACTGTAGACTTGGGGGAGAGAGATGGGTACGGAGAGACTGAAAAAAATAGTAAGGGGGGAAAGTGACTAAAGTGATGTGACTCTCACCTGGGAAGCTGATACAATGTGTACTGTTTAGCGCACATATTAAAATGTAATCACGAATAACTGATAGCTTGAGCCAAGTGGACCTGTCTAATGTCTTCTCACCTAATCAGCCGACAGGGTTTCCAACTTTTTTCTCTTTCTGAATTAATATTAACTTGGACACTGCTTAGTAATATAGATGACGTCTACAGGGATAGAAGCCATTCATTGGCCAAAATGGACTCGAATGGATGATTTTAGAAGTGCTACTTTTAAACAGTGATGCCTCATGTTCTGAAACTTTCCCATTAACCTTCTAAATGCAGAAGTGAATTGTAGAAATTGAGGGCTCCAGTAGGTTTTAAAAAATATTTTTTTATAGTTGACCATATTTTTAGAAACCAGCTAAAATGTAAGTATGTATCTCAGAGTCTTTTGGATCATTATGGAAGCTGTATTTCTGTTTCATGTAATTAATTGTTAACATATTTCATCTTAAATAAGATGTAATGAGAGACTTTGCACATGTTAGGTGCCCAATAAAAACTGTGTGGATAGATTTAAAGAACTGACAGGGCAATGGAAACTTTGACTGCATTTGATCTAGTTCTGAGTTTATCTTGAAGTATGCTGCTAAACTTATCTTGAATTGTTGGGAAGGACAAGAAAGAAGTCTATAAGTCAAGAGTCACAAACTGTCCATTTGGTCTGCATGTGGTTGGTTCACTTTCATTTTTCCTCTCTTTTTTCCTCCCTCCCACATTGAATATGTTGCCAGCACTTAAAAATTAGGTAATTTCATTAAAAATCCAGATTTCTGAATTGTCTTGAAAAATCAGATCTAGCAACATTGGACCTACCTTCCTGCATGGCAACAATTGGCTGACACCTACCGTTGGCTGCCCCTTTAGAATAGGCATGTTTTCTGGAGTTCTCCACTGCTCCTACGCATCTTATCAATCGACTTCATTCGTGTTACAGGCCTAAGCCATTAGACATTTAAGCCACTGCCCAATATAAGGTTTTACCAACCTTCTGTATTTCTTACTTCCTCCCCTTTAAAATCATGGTCAATACAACAATCTTACAGATACCGAACATCTCTTGAACTTTTTCGTCTCTGTCTGGCCTCTAGGAAATGTAAACAAACGATCTTTTACTGATTCTGTACATTCTTGTATTCATACAATTGGCAAAAATACTCAGATTGCACACAGTTTCAGGGCCAGGTTTATGAGATCACATTTGAGTAACATTGACCACTAGATAAAATTCATCTGGGCCAAGGAAAGGAAGCTCAGAGTGGCTGCAGACTACTCCCTAGAAATACGGACCAATGTATACTTTCTTCAAAAAGATTGGCAAAGTTGGGGTGGCATCAGAAAAGGGTATTTGAAATAAAACAGCACTGGCTGGAACCATTGTTTTACCTCTCCATACAAGACAACTGCCAATTCCTTCCTGTGTGTCCTTTGGCCAGCTGATGAACTTACCTCTATGAAAGAGAGAAAGGCCAAACTCTGTAGGCCAAGTACACTGTGTTGGTTGCTACTTCTCTGCTGCTTTACTGTTTAAGCAGAGCTATACTAGACTCTGTCTCAGGAACAGGATACAGACTAAGAGGGGCCAATTGCTTGCAGTGGAAGAGAAATGGACAGATTCTACCATCAGCATCCCGGGTGACTTTGGTTAAGTCCCAATATCTCTGAAATGTACATTGAGGGGAGTTGGGCTTGGTTAAATCTGAGGTCCCTAAGGCCCACTACTAGCATTCTGGAAACCTATATATAGTTTTTCATAGAGAAGATAATGTGTGAAAATCAACAAGTGCTGCATGTAGTACTACATGTTATAACCCCAGAAAGATCATGGAGTTAGAAAAGACCTAGAGAAAGACAACCAAAATGACCAAAGAAATTGAGAAGGCTTCTATATCTGGAGCATCTAGAAAGACTTGGAAGGTTAAGCTGGAAGGTGAAATGTGCAGGTGGGAAAAGACAGGATCAAAATCTCTAAAATAATGAGGCGGATGTACATGGGAAACCGGATAACCGGACCTTCTCTCAGCTTCCATGATAACCGGACCTTCCCCCCTCAGGTGCCATTAGGAGTGAAGGGAAAGTTGCCAGACACACCCTGGTTAACGTCAGAGCTGGCACCAGCGTGGGCATCAGAAGTAGCAAGGCATCTGTAGCTCAGTATACAGAAGACAGAGAATTTGTTAAAAGCATCAGACCATCTTGTTCTGGTTGTACTTCCCAAGTTATTTAGCACAGAGCTAAGAGGGAATAGTGGAATTTTTCTTAACTCATTTTGACTAGGCAAAATTTTTCAAACCTTCAAAGTCTCTGTCCTTTTCAGTTTGTCCTTCACACCACCAACATATTAATCTTCTAAAACAAAGCTTTCATTCAGTGACTCAGTTTATGATTTTAAATAAAGGCAGGATCATTGCCGGTGCTTTGGGAAGCTCTATTGAAGCCTGAGGCAAAAGGAAAACCAGTAATAGTGATCCCATCTTTATTTTAAAAATGCAGTACTTTGTTCCTCGTAGATTGTTTTTGCATTAATTTTTAAAATATTGCATTAAGATATTTATTTTGATGACTGAGTTTGTTGGGACAGCCTTATATTTTGCACCCTAGGCAAGAGCCTCACCCCTCTCACTTGCCTCCTTCAAGTACTGGCCCGAGGAAGCCATTCTGTGATGTGGGTGAGCACTGGTTTTGAGTCAGACATGGCTGGTTTGAATATTAGATCCACCTCCCACTGACTCTGTGTTATTTTGAGAAGGTTGTTTAGCCTCTCCATGTTTCTCTCTCCTCTTGTTCAATAACAATAATGGCTAACTTCCAGAGTTACCACGGAGAATAAATTCTGTGATACATTGGATACTACTCAGCACCACACAATACTTGACATATAATAGGCACCCCATAAATATTACCTCTCCTTCCCTTGAAGAAGAACAAAGTTTAAAGTCAATTAATTTAATTAAACAATAAACAAATAATGTTAGATGCTGTTCCAAATGCCCTGGACTTGGTGCTAAGGAAAGGGGCAGGGCACGGGGATACCCTGATGTAGTTCCAGCCTTCAACAAGCTGGAATTTAGGATTACACCACGAAACCATTAGAAAACAAAACCTAACAACAAACAATAAAAATTGGGTTTCTACATGTAAAAGATTAGGAACATGGAAGCTGAGAGAAGGTCTGGTTATCTGGGAAGCCTGTCTAGGAGATGTCAGCTTGAGGTAAGGAATGTCGGAACTCAAGAAACAGGTGTGGGGGAGGAAAGACACAATTTAAACCTGAAATTCCTGGGCCACGCCCTCACTGCTTCTCAGTCTAAGTCTTGGCACTCATAAACATATCTGTGCTCCAGTATGGCCCAGGAAGAACATGTTCGTGGTGTGAACACGGCAGATTCTGAAGGTGCTGCTGCTGGACACTGTCAGCTAATTACACCGCTCATGACGGGCTCTCACGGAAAGGGAGATTGGAGCACTGCACTCCGTTTAATAAAAGGCTAATGTTTCAGTTTGGTCGAAGCGTGAGCTAGGTCTTTTTTCTTCTACCGTCACCAAAATATACTACAGCTAAAAGCTACTAAGAGTTTCGGTGAAGGAGACCAACATGCATGGGTTCAAATCTCGGTATTACTACTAACAAGCTGCATCACCTTGGACACTTTACTTCGTGTCTGTCTCTGAGCTTCAGTCTTCTTCTATGTAAAATAGGGAAAAAAATAACAGTAATTCCCCCATGAGGCTGTTGGGAGGATTAAATGAGATGCTCATGAAAAACACAGTGCCTGGCACCTTGCAAGCCTGCAATAAATATATCCTTCGTGCTCCCATTTCCTTTAGTAGACCAACGCGGGCATCCAGAGGGACTTTCAGTCTTAAAGGGCACTTACACAAAATGGCAGTCAGCAACTCTGCATCTCAGCTGGGAACAGCATCAAAAGAAAGAAGCAGGAAATGTTTAGTTGTTGAAGAGGGAATTATCCGAAGATGGGAACAATATGCAGTGCTTGCCCCCCTACTGTGGAAGCACGGGGGTATGTGAGATCTTCAATGAGGAGGATTTGAAAGGAGAAGAGAATGTTTCTGGTCTTGAAGGCTTGGGGACTACAGCTGACCTCCCAGCTCTATGGCTTTCTTACAACTTCAAAGAACAACTCTCCTTGCTTCCTGCCCAGGCTCACGGCTGCAGAGCTTTGATGAATTTACCCCTAGTTTGTCCCTCCTGTGTGACCTCTGGCTCACCACATTCAAACTCTTTCCCGTTTCAATTTCTAAAAGCAGGCATGAAAGCAGACCAAAGCCCTCCTCTCCTTTTCAAAACACGATGTTGGCTTCAGCCATGTTAAAATTATTGAGTGGTCATCATGTCAGACAAGCGGGAAGAAAAGATGTTGGAAGATGCTATTAATAATAAGGTAAAAAAAAATAAGGTAAGATGCCTAAGAATAAACTCAATAAGAAATACGCAAGAGCTATATGAAGAATACAGAAATACTTCGAAGGGCAGAAAAGAAAGCCACAAAAAATGAAATTATAGATGAATGTATTATTATTACATAAGAAGCATTAGATTATTTTTTCAATCTATAAATAATGTATACATTTAAACA